GAAAATATCGTAATGAAATCTGCATGTCTGAGAGAACCTAACTAATCAAAATTCAAGTGAAATACACTATAAACATGGTAGACTATGGTCTGAGTTCCTAGCATTTAGGGAAGGCTCATGCCCAGCAATGAGACATTAAAAAAAGACTAAATAAAATTCTTAAGCCTGAAATAAACAAGAGATAAACTCAAACGAGATCAGCTTTGGTCACTAATACAATAAAATATTTTTCGAAAATCGAACTCACTGACTTGGTTGTAGCAAGCAGTGTTAATACAAACTTCAGTAACTGAGCTACGACACCCTCGTCTTCATACATAAGAAGGGAGATCGACCTAATTGCCTTTCTTGCTACATTCACAAAGACAAGACTAGAGTAATATTTGCTGTCTACAATCGTTTATTCCATTTGGACACAGAGCAGATAGCTAATAATTAACTATACGTATCCCTCGGGATTCAATTACATCAATGCTCCACTTATGGGTCTACTTATTTATTCTATGGCTTATGAAAAATGAATGTGTTTAAATAAAAATAGTTGATAAAATGTAAAAAACGTAGATTTATTTCATATCTATAATCTACAATTTACCTAACTTCAACGAAACCCAAAGGAGGATTATTTGTTTGACTCGTATGTATGTACATAATAATATGTATGCATGTCCGATCCCATGTTCCCTTGTAATTACTTAACTTCTAAACCGATTTTGGATGCTTCATATGTCGTTAGACTCGTCTCAATAACGCTAGTGTGATGAACTATACTGCTAACCAAAATGGCATATTTAAATAAAAAAAATATCCAAACCTATTGAGTGAAGTATGAAAATGAAGGTTTTTAACAGGCAATTAAAAATTATATGCAATTTATTTGCTTAGTAAAAATTAAATTGTTAAATAAAATCAAAAACACCCAAATAAAAAGTTGTAAATAAAAAAATAATTTACATAAATAAAAAACCCCAATTGCATTAAAAGTGAACTAATATATGAAAACGAGTTGATAACGGAACATAGTATTATGCAGTGGAAGACAAAATTTTATTATTGCTACGAGCCTTACTACGTATCTTGCTATTTAATAATATGTAAAACATATTCTTCTTTTCTTATTAAGTACATCAGCTATGTTATGTGACTTTAAGATAGACTCTCTTATATGTAAATATAATCTAATTTGCCCACTTTAATGAATTACTGTTCACTTTTCCAAGACAGAAGCCGCTGAGACAATTAATATTTACTTTCCCAATTCTAATTCACAGAAACATAAAAATCTATACACATAATAAAATTGTAACTAAGCCGAATCTGTACATTAAATATTTGTTGGAAAATCTTATTGAAATAGACATTATTATCGATACAGAGGCCGAATCTATCGTTTTTAGAATTTTTGTCTGTCTGCCTGTCTGTTACCGCATCACGGAAAAACCACTGGAGGGACTTTGATGAAATTTAGTATGATGATAGTTGGTTATCCGGGTCAACATGTAGGATACTTTTTACCGCAGGACAATATCTCATTTCTGAGAAAAAATACAAAAACTGCATTGTAAGAGTGTACTAATATGTAAAACCTAAGAATTTGGTTTTTGGTCATCTGAACGCAGGCGGACCCGCGGGCCGTGATAGTGTTATATTTTTTTTTGGAAAAAATATTTAGCACTCAAAAATATCCCATATGAATATCAGCTATAACATTAAATTGTTAGGCTATATGCCATTGATACGAAAATTGAATTGAACTGTTTCATGTTTACCAGAACTTCATAAGCTACTAACCTTATCCGTACTACTACAAAATAAATGTATATGTATTTTCCCCTATGTGATAATCGAACCTGTGAGTTCCACCATAAAACTAGAAACTAATTCCTTAGGGTTATCAAAGAGAAATTCATGCAAAACTTAATTAATAGCAAAACAATGGGTAAAATAATCGGTGATCGGTAAAGTTTCTAAACACGACATGACACATGTCCTTGAATAAAAGGTGATTGATTGTACTACGAGCTTCGCCTTCCTCCCTAAAAGGATGTCAGAAATAGGACGTGACAATTTAATATGAAACTGGCTTTGGCAGTTTTAGTTAAGAGAAATACACTTTAACTAGTTTTCTTTCGCGGCTCTGCTTGAATGGAGTCTCGTCAATAAAAAATCGTTATGTATTCATCCAAGATTTAAGCCATTTCAATTTAAAATTTTACTCAAATCTATTGAAACATAATTTTGTGACAATATCTCAACTGACACGTTTTGAAGCCATCAACTAGAAAACTGAATTGAAACACACTTAGTTTCAGAATATCATATTCATAATTTATATCATAAATATAAATGGGCAAAGGCAAAACAATTCAGTACCATTACCCTTACCATTTTCTCCTCTATTTGTCAACGATTTTCTTTTTTTACTGTTTAGTAGCTATTGACGAGTTTTAGTGTTATAATTAATAAAATGACCACAGCATCTTTTTATAGATAGGTAAATTTTATTCATGTAATATGTTTTCCTCAAATTATAAATAACGATTATGCTCGAATTTCGTCCTCTAGGCAAAAACTTGTACGAGTATAACTAGGTTTTCGAGGTGTACTATATAACTATAACTGGGAAGAGAATGAGTCAACTTATATGCCTATGTCCGTTGCTATGATATAGTCTATGTCCTTGCCAAATTCTATCGAAAGCTGTTCGGCAGTTGGTCTTGATGCAAAAAAGATGACGAAGGATTACAAATATTTTTTTTTTAAACCTCAAATGAACAATTAATTGAACAAGTACGAAATCCTTTATGTCTATTCGTAATTGACCAACATTTTAAAAGTATTAAAAATATAAGTATGAAAGTTAATCTAAACCAAGTATATGAATAAAAATTCTAACGGAACGAACAAATATGCAAAAATGGAGAAGATAAAAGTTCAACATCATGAATAAAGTCACTGTGCATTGCAACACTCGCAAGCAACGTTGCAAAACATCTATTATTTTCCTATAATCTTATTTCCATAGAATGTTGTCGATATATTACCCTCGGATAGCATTATTTTTAGTTGTCATGACAGCAGAGAGAAATGCCAAAATATATGCAGAGAATTTTCAACTATATTTTTAAATGCACAGAGTTGTTATAAATGAATCGTATTTGTTACAGTCCCAGGTGCTACGTTGAGCAAAAATTGAAGTGTAATATTCCGTCTAGCGGATTCATTTTGCTAACATTTTGGTTCATTTTAAGACCACGTGAGGTCGTGATTTGGGTAATGCTAAGGTTTGTATGAAAATTAGTAATCTCGTCTTAAAAAGGTTACCATTTGGAATATTCTAAAATATATTCTAAGATTATATTATGTACTCCACTAGTATATCGGATTATGGCGACAACAGATTACCAAAACCAACACAAATATTAACCCTTTATGAAAATTTGACTTGCAATTATATTATTTAAATGTCAAGAAACTTTAGTTTACTAATAAATCTTGATTTTGTTATATAGAGTAACTGGCACCCTAACTTCGCTCGGGTATGTCCATAAGCTTGACTGTTTTGGGAACACATAAAAGACAAATATCCAAAGTAGTTCTTTTTTCAGGCCAGAAACTCGCAGGCATATACAGAATAATTCAGCAGAGTTCCATCATAATCGGATCAATGGTTTAGGAACCATAGAGGACAAACATACAAACATTTATTTTTATATATAGAAATTTTTCATTTAATATCAATAGCAAAAATCACTAATACATTAAATACTTAAGTTGGTATTTTTTTTTTGTTTAAAGGCTTATCATAGCCATATTGTAGGTATTTTCTCATGGAATATTATTAGATGGGAATGCAACACCATGTTAAGTAAATTATGGGGAGCTCAATTATACCAAATCGGAAACAATCATAAAAAAATTTGTCAGTCTCTACGGTAATTTACGGAATAGCTAAGCCGATTTAAATGAGAATTTATCTGCAGTATCAATTACTTAAAATAGAAGGGCTATTATTTCATATTACTAATTCTTCTGTTTTATGAACTTTTTGGCTGACATATTGTGAGGGCTGTAACTAATAGAGGGCAAGTCGTTAGCTTGATAGACATTGCGACCTTCGACGTAACAGCCGATGCCTTCGATACATGCTTCATTGAGTTTTGTAAATATCTTTTAGTAATGGATGAAACTCCAGGGACTAGCAAATTACATTGTTCAGTGACATCTTAATTCAAATAATAGTAATTGATAAATGAATTTACTAAATGAATTTAAATATATGAAATTTGAAAATGTTTCTATTTAAAATATGATAAGCTTAAATGAAATAAGTATCATCAGAAAATAAACTTTAGTTTATTTAATGAAATAAGTTACAAATATTTTTAATATCATTACATTTATTTGATATTTATTTGTAAAAAAAGTCATTAGTCTTAATTTTAATATGTTTTATATGATTATCTTTACATCCTTAGAAAGAGCGCAAAAAGATAACTGAACTGGGCTCTGGAAAAATGCAATATTTTTATTTACTTTATTATCTATAATTTTTATATGATAAGTAATTACTTTTTTTAGTTTTAATTATTATTTTTTATTAAGTAGATATCGATATGTTATTTTATACAAAAGTTTTGTAATAAAGGCGGATAAACTGTTTTTTTTTTTTTTTTTTTTTCTATTTATTTCACTATTGAAACATAGTCGCACTGTTTCGCTGTCCGTCCAGTCACCCTTGTCTGTTTGTCTTTTGAGGCGTTTTACAGAGATTAACTCAGCATCACACTTAAAAGCTTCTTGAATTTCTTGCTCACTAACTTCTAGCTCAATGTTTAATGAAAACGTTATTTACATTGAGTGCTGGTTAACTACTCGTATTATACATTGCCTTTGAAATATTAAATAAAGATAGTTTTTTCTTAATTAATAAATTTATATTAAAATATTAAAATTTAAAACCTTTAAATCGAAATAATATTGTTCATGTGCAGCTATTACTGAGGTAGTTCCCAGTTAACTTCGTCGTCGTATTTTTCGTGGTCTTTCAACGGTTCCAGAATTGGAGCCCTAGCAAGAAGACCTGGAAGAAAAGAAAATAATTGAAAATTAATAAATCGATATAAATATCATAAAGTGAACTTATTTCTGAAAAAGGCTAAATACATTCGAAACGTCAGAAGCCAAATATCTAAATCCGCAAAAAAATCCGAAAAAGATAATTTTATTAACAAAAATGATCATTTTAATTGCTTATTTTTAACAAAAAAAAACTAAAATAAAGGTTATTTGAATGCTTATTTTACCAAATAAATATGTATTAGATATGTTATTTTATATTTGAATCTAAGTTTAATAAAATTATATTTCGACAACTACCTTTATCATACTATGTTATACATGGCATATAGGTATTATGGTGTTGCTACTACTGTAAAGCTTATTAACAAAATAAAGAGATTTTACCAGGAAAATTTGGTAAAAGAAAAATACTTTAAAATATCTTATCATTCCTTATTAAATGATCAAATTCTCTAGATCATCCTACCAGCTTAAACGTACAAAAGCACCAAAAACATTTCATTTTGTTATCCACCCAGCAATTTTCTAAGACTTTAATAACTTCAAAAGCTGTCCAAGGAAGCCAAACCGTTTGATTAATTGCCTCACTTATTATTTTTACACCGTTATTTACAGAACGATTCGTCTAAGTGCTAAATAATAAGACTGTGAGAAATTGTTTGTCTTAAAAAGCCTTTGTTTTATGCTTCCAAATCTCCAGTAATAGACTAAATTGATACATAGGTCAATAACAAAACGGCAAAGATAAAAAGCATTCTTTATCAAAACCTTCACAGAGCATTGTTCACGAAATTGCCGTTTAAGCTATCTCACTGTCGATTTAGAATGAAATATAAGCTATTGTTTTTTTTAAATGAAATTTTTATTGATAATTAGCTTTTGTCTATGCTTTTAAAAGGAGGTGTTTGAATAAAGCTTTGTATATTTCAAATGCAATTTTGGTCTTAAATTAGTTTTTATGAAGGAAGCTCTTTTACTTTGATGACTTAAACATTGAGAATTGCAGCTGTTATTTCCATAATGTTATTTCATGGGGATTTTTTTCAAAACGGAATTACAAGTAAAAACCGTAAAGTAAGTTTATTAAATCCCATGCATCCTCAATACACTGAATACGTATAAGCAGAATTTATTTGATTACATTTATATATACAAATGTAAGTATTTTCAACTTAATATATACATTTTACACAGAAAGTCTAGAAACTAACATTTTTACACATTTATATGGTATAATGGTTAGATTACTGTCTAAAAATTACTGTCTAAATTTTGTTTTTTTCAATTAAAAAAGTTTATTTTGTAAGTTTTTTCCCAAATTTTGAGTAAAAAACATTTAGTAATAAATATTCAAATATTTAAACTGTGCGAGCATCAAACCTCCTACCATCAACATTACTAGTGGTAATTTACCACAGGCGTTAATTTCAACAAGATTTTTGAAGTACATGACATACACATAAATACAAATACAAGTTCAGTCGTCCCCTCATACATTTCTCACCAGAGACCAAGCAATATAAAACGGAGAATAGAAAAATGTAATTAAATTGCTCTTTTTTATTAGCAATGTCGTTTGTAGAAAGTAAGCTTTCCTTGCAAATGTGGGTATTACTTATAGTTTTTCTCATTGAATATTTATCTATGTTTATTAAATACTAGTGACTTACCCTCGCTCCGCATACCTAGCCGATGCGACGGCCCTAGCTACGTTTTAACGGTTAGTAAGTGGTTTCTCAGGGATGAGATATTTCTACACAGTGAAAAGTATCCTTTACGTAGACCACCAGCTATCATCATACCAAATTTCATCCAAATCTGTCCAGTGGCTTTTTCGTGATGCGTTCCCAGACAGACAGACATACATTCTAAAAATTATAGGTCCGGCCTCTGTATCGATAATAGTAACTATATCAATAAGATTTTTTTTAAATATTTAATGTACAGATTCGACTCGGATACAATTTTATTATATGTATAGATTAAACTAATTATAGCATAAGCCAACTATAGCTTTATCTATCGGAAAGCTTTCCAAGAATCTTGAAATTCATCTAAGAGGGTCAACATTTTACCTTTAACATCTTCATAGAAATAGCCATTCTCTACATCTCTCTGGTACTATAAATTTTCTAAGAATTTCTTTATATTAAAATATAAATCAAACATTTCCCAAAACAAATCTGTTACTAATATTATAAATGTAGAAGTGTGTTTGTTTGTCCGTCTATCACGTCGAAACGAAGTGACGGATTGGCGTGATTTTTGGTGTGGAGATAGTTAGAGGGGTGGAGAGTGACAAAGGCTACTTTTTACCGCGGGAGATTATCTGATTCCCACGGGAAAATACGTTATAATACAATACAAAAAAATATTATGATTAGAATTACTTCAAACTCGGTATTAATGCTCTTCAATAATTTTTCGAAATTCATCCTATATGGGGATAAAATTGTATGAAAATTTGTATGAAAAACCACCTTAGAGACTTTTTGTAGTTTTTTGTAGTTTTACTAAAATTTTCACTAATATTGACAATGCGAGAATATTTGTTGCTTTATTAGTCTTCATTTTAATTTAGAATTCATTTTCTATTAAGTAAAGTAGTTAGAAGGGATAGTATCTCACAAAAAGATTATACTTAATGTAATTTATTCTACGCTGCTTTTAGTGAAGAGAAATAAATAAATGTAACTCAGTGATTCACCAATAAAAATGTATCTTTTGCAGTTTTTTTTATTGATAACACTAAAGCTCGCTAATATGTAGATACTAAGCAAAAAAAATTAAGAAAGTCGGTTGACAAACATGAAGATAGTAAAAGTAGATAAATATTGATGATATTAAATTTCATTCAATTCAAATTTATTTTTATATTTAAAAGTATTAATAACTGCTTGAAATATTTTTATGAAGCTTACTAGAGCTGGTAATTTTAAGCCACAATTTTATCGAATTAATCAAATCCATGTCCCATTCGATTGTTCCACCCTTTATATATATATATATATATATATATATATATATATATATATATATATATATATATATATATATATATATATATTATATTGTTTTTTTTATATTTATTTATTATAGTGTAATTAATATGTATAATATAAAATTTATCGTAAAGAGCTGACATACCAGTTACAACGCCGCCACCAATCGATATTCCAACAGTGACGAGCAGAGCGAAAAATTGTTTAAGCGCTTGGTTCGCTGCAGTTCTTCCGTCCTATGGGAGAAATAAACAACTTACAAAGTTTTCAGTTAAAAGCTCAAACGCTTATTATGCGTTAAATTCTCTATTTAGTGACATTCAAATATTTTGAATATGGAGAGTGTTTAAAATTGTAAGGTTAAAATTTTATATTTAAATACAATAAAATTTAAAATTTTAGTATTATTTTCAATTTTATTTGTTTGATTATTTAACTTTTATATTAATTATTTTCTTATTTTTTTATCTTATATGATATGTGTTTCACAATGTATATCAAAATGTTAACAATATTTAATTATTAGTAATTCTATTTTGTAGACCTCTACATGTACGTCATTGCTGTTACATTTGCGAATGTATTTTTTGGTCAGATTGTCAATCTTAAAAATCCGTATATAAATTAATTGTTTGTTCTATTTATATTTAATTTTAATTTACTGTCAGTAAATATTATTTGTAAAATATTAGTATAATAAACAGTTAAAAATCGAATCGATGAAATAGAAGATCTTATCTCATCTCATCATAAAATCTCAAAGTAAAAAAGCATATATTACGCAAGCAGAGCTGAAGTAAAAACTACTAGAATTTTAAATATTATATATATACTTACCCCATCCATACCAATGAAAACGGTATCTAGCTCAGTACCATACTGTTCTTTAGTAGCGATAGCAGCAAAAAGTATAGATAATAAGCCTGAGTATATTCCAGGCATCCCGTGCAAATTATTCACGCCGCAGGTGTCTGGTACACCGTGTTTTGATAATAGTGGCTGAAAAAATTATAAGCTTAACTAAATTTTAGAGCGTGTTTTAATCTTAATTAGTATATTTAAATCAAATTGGGAAAGTTTGTTGCTATTTACGGAAGCGCAGTAATGTTTATTTGTAGTAATAATTAGTTTTTAGCTAAAGGTACAAGTCCAGAACAACTTATAAAGTAACTGGCGAAGTCCCGAGCTACTTTTTGTTTTTATAATATTACATAAATGCAGCGCCACTTATGTGTTACTTGGATCTTGTTCTATCTATATATTAAATTTCATCAAAATTCATCCAGCCGTTATAGTGTGAAGGAGTAAGAAACACACAATACACAAATACACAAACAAATAATACATATAATTGAAGTATCATTATTCTATCCTTAAAAATGAAAAATCTCTTAAGTGCAGTAATCAATTAATTCAAAATAGTTTCATTAAAATCGGTACACAAATTACACAATCAAATTAAGTTCAAGTAGCACATTCTAATGTACCTTTTGTGAAGTTGATCAAAATTGACGAAACGAACGAAAATGACGAAAATTGAAATTTTATCCAAAAACAGCACAGAACCTCTAAATACGGAACCCAAAATCCTACTTTTACTACCTACATATTTAAAGTTACCAGCGAACAGGTTTATTAAACTATATTCGTTAGTTAATCCACTCACTATAGTCCAATAAACGAAGGATTTTTTATGCAACACAAAGCCGTGCAATATTGTTGAGTACTAACAAATAATTCACGAAATATTACCAAAGTGATGTAGTCAGTTTGTTTATATTCTCTAGCTATATTTTAGAAAATTTAAATTGGTTGTATAGAATTTTTATTATTTATATATTGTTATTTTATTGTTAAGTGGCACTTTGTTAAGCAAACATTAACTTATTTTGGGCGACTAAAAGAGAGAACTCAAGTCGCGTTTATTTTTGTGTATGACAATTCGCAACATTTTATTGATTTCGAAGAGGTTTGTTTTTATTCGATTACGTAATTATCTCGATGTCTTCCTAAACATTAAATGAAACTTATTTGGAAACAAAAATCAAAATAAATCTACGAAAAAATCCGAAAAGATAGTAAGAGAAATATTCGCGTAAATCTAAGAAAGTATTATTATTCAAAATTATTAAAAAAAATATTTTTCTTCTTTATCTCATCTATACATATAATAAAATTCTATCTTACATTATGTACATTAATTTTTTTTTGGAAAATCATATTGAAAAAGTTATTATTATCTATAAAGAGGTCGGTCGAATCTATAGTTTTTAGAATTTTTGTCTGTCTATCTGTGAGAAAACCAATGACAACAAATTTAACAAAATTTGGTAGCTGAGTATCCTGGTCAACATATAGGATACTTTTTACTGCGGGAAAATATCTCATCTCTGAGAAATCTATACTAAACGTTAAAACGTAACTAGGGATGAACCCGAGCGGAGCAAGGGTGAAGCGCTAGATATTATATATATCTCATACTTCATACTTTCATCCATTAAAAATGAAATGTTATATCACAACGCTGGTAGCTTTACTATAGCTTTTCCGATAATATTGTTTTTCAAAGTAACTTTAGTTGCGTAGGTTCATGTGGCACTAAATCAGTTAGTGGGCATGAAAATAAAAGTAAAGGTTAGCTACGGCTAGATAATTTATACCTGCGTGTAATAAAATTGTAGTCGGATTGCACTACAGAGTTTATTTAAAATGCAATATTGAGTAAATAAATAGTTTTTACGTACATTTTTTATTCTGAAAAAAATATAACAAATTAAATTAAATGTTCCTTAAGATATATGTACGTCAAATTTAATATAGAGATAGAATAATAAATATAAATAGTATATTAGTGCTTGGCATAACTCGCTATTTTGTCTAAAATAGGCGAGAAAAGAATTTTTTCGCTTCGCACAGGTTCGTCCCTAGGTACGTTTTGACGCTTAGTATGGAATAGATTTTCTTTTCATTTTTTCTTGAATTTTCAGATATTTTAATAGTTATTATGCTATTTGGGGTGAAGTTTTATATATATATATATATATATATATATATATTACGTGAATACTTGACATTAAATTGATTTTGACAATGTTTGGTGTAAAGCGTGCGTAATATAGGAAACCAAAAATGAGAAAAAAATGTAAAAAAAATCTATATATTAATTTTTTTATTTCAAATATTATTATTCATATAGTCAAGTAAAGCAAGGCGAATGCTGAAGATGAGAATTGAATCTGCTACCTATAACAAAAATTGTCACCTAAATATAAACTGCTATAGCCATAGACTAGTACGTGGTATACTAAAATTTACTAGCCTTATATTTTAATATCTAGATACTTTATATAGCTTCACTTAGGATATAAAAAAAGGCGACGTAACACTGTTTGCCACTTTATACACTTAGGCTAAGATAACAATTTAATCTGAATCTTTAGACAGCAAGAAATTGAGCGTCTAATGAAACCAAACGAAGCTCTCAGTGTCAAAGAAAAAATGTTATACTAGTATTATATTTACATAAGTACCTGGGCGACCAAGCTTCGCATATGGCGTTTTTCGAAAAAGATATAAAAATTGCCTCTTTTTAGAAAATCTATACGTATAATAAAATTCTGAGTTGCTTCGGTACATTAAATATTTTTTGGAAAATCTTATTGATATAGTCATTATTATCGATACAGGCGTCGAAGCCATATTCTAGATTATATACATTTAGATTTTGTGTCTGTCTGTATGTATGGGAACTCATCACGAGAAAACCACTGGATGAAATTTGATGAAATTTAGTATAATGATTTCTGGTTATCTGGGTCAACATATAGGATAGTTCTTACTACAGGAAAATATCTCATCTCTAATAAATCCTTCGTTCAACAAGTATTGTTCATCATAAGGTGAAATCTATACTAAACGTTATATTAATATTCTATATAGAAAAACTTAAAAAGCAAATCCTTATATAAAAACATAATTTGATCTTAATCTTTAGAGCCGGTACCGAGATTTTTTCTTCAGGGCACAGTCTATGTACTTAATATCATCCAAATCCGCTCAGCTATTTCGCTATGAAGGAGCAACAAACTTACATAGATACACACATTCGTAAATATAATAGCACTGTGATTTGCCGATGAGTTTTAATTTTTTTTTAATTATAATTTTTATTATTAAACAATTTAAAATACGAAGACGTACTTACTCCAACTATAGGAACGTCGTTCATAATCCTTTTTAACGAGTTATAATTCAAGGATATCATATCTATTATCTATACTAATATTATAAAGAGGCAGAGTTTGTTTGTATGTTTGTTTGTTTGAACGCGCTAATCTCAGAAACTACTAATTAGATTTGATTTGCATTAGTTTGCATTCGATTGCATTAGTTAGCCCGTTTATTGAAGAAGGCTATTCGTTTAAACGTACCTAGGGACGAATCTGGATCCTTAGAAAACAGTGGATTTACAACGAAATTATGAATTACACCAGCACTAATGTACAGTAATACGAGTGTATTGAAATATGAATGTGTATTTAAAAATTAATGTTAGAAATTTTCTTTGTTATTCATTACGTGTATTAATTAATTAGTTAATTATCGTTGATGGTATATTTTGATGAATTCTATTTTTGCTTAACAAAATTTGCAGATTTATTATAAGCTAGCAGAGCACGCGGCTTTGCCCGTGTTCAAACTACAAAAAAAAAACTCTGTCTTTATGTTATATAGCGACTCACCCTCGCGTCACTCAGGTTCGTCCTTATGTATTTATATAATATTTATAGTTTTACAATAATGTCTTCCCGATTTGTTGACATTAATGTTTACTACTCCGCTTCCTCAAATCAAATCAAAATCCCTTGGGTAGTAAGTAGCATGATGATATGTAGCATATAGCCTTCCTCAATAAACGTAAATAAATGTAATGCAAAAAGATTTTTTCAAATTGGATTATTAGTTTCTGAGATTAACGCGTTCAAAAAAACAAACAAACTCTGCGGTACAACAAAACAAACTCCCTAGATGCTCCTTTACACTAACATAACTTTTTTATTTATGAACCGATTGAAATAAAACAAATACTAAATGTTCAGTGAAGCATATATTAATGACAACCGCACCCAAATCGGTTAAATTGTTTCTAACATTAGCGCGCACAAACGTACAGACAAACAGACAAAAATTCTAAAAATCATTATATTGGGTTATTACTAAAGACCCTCAATAACAGTTTTTCTCAAATATCGTCTATGTACAGACAACGATCAGTTACAATTTTATTATATGTATAGATATAGATTTAATTAATATGAAAGCTTATAAATTTCATTTAATTTTAGGAACATAATTTTATATTAACACAACATTTAATATTCAGCTAGCTAGGTATAAAGCTTTTTCGTAAGCCATAGAATCAATTTTCATCCTCTGGCACTTATCGCAGAATATTTATTATACATACTGACTCCCGACATGCGTGAATGTACATTAAATCGAAATTAGCCTAAATCTAAACGCAAATATCTACATACGTATATGTATATCCATAACAATATAAAGAATACTTTTTAAATATTTCTTATAAAAGCTGATAAATGAAATTTATATCATTCGATATACATATTATGTATTATGCACCTACCTATAACCCAAAAATATAAGACAATTAAAACATCTAAAGTTTCCTATTCAAAAGCCTAAAATCGAATAAATAAAAATTATTATTACTTAATATGAATTAAAATTTAAGTAATTTCTAACTAATTATGAAAAAAAAAATAATTACATACTTTCGACCGACTTCTAAGTCGAGTTATGTTTTGTATAAGTTACGCCTTATTTGCTGTTTGCGAACCAATTATCATGATTGTATTTTCAATATTTTGTATACCTAATCATTGACTAGAGGTACTTACTCGTATATATTACGTAATAATTAAAAAATCCTTTTAAGTAAAAGAAAACTTAGACCTCACTTCTATATTTCCAAGAAAAAATCCACCAAAAATTATTTTGAAATCGGTGTTCTTCTTACTTATTAAACATTAATTACTTAATTTACAGACAGAATTTCCCTAATTCTGGTAAAAGGCGATACGTTTTAAATTATGTTAATTAGAGTTCTTTAACCATAAAAACGTACAGTTAAAAACCTGTATCCCAAAACACTGATCAGTCCTGCTCCAATACCGATTGCTATCGCCCCACCGGCCCCAACGTGCATATTGCATACCGATCCTACAGCGACTCCGCCGGCTAATGTAGAATTCTGTATGTGAACCATGTCTAACTTGCCATGGTGTTTGCTTACAGCTGATGATAGTACGAAAGTTGTTACCTGTAATATAAGTTTAAATTAATTATGATAATATATACATAGTATGGTTGATGGTTAAAGAATATAATAGCCTAGTGGGCACGCGTTTGATTGAATAATCAAGTGTAACGACGGGTAGGCTATCTGTAACAACTATATAATGCCTTAGAGAATCTAACACCTCAGTGTCTCCCGTGACCATGATTGCTGTAAAGCATTCTAAACATTGGCAACCAAAAATCAAAATATATTCGTGAACAAATCCGAAAAGATAGTTTTATTTAAAATGTCAAGTGTAACGAGTTCAAATCTCGCAGTTTCATTACATCATGTGTATATCATTTCCAATCATTACCAAAAATGCTAAAATTTCAAAGAAAACTATTGTAAAGAAATCTATGCGTATTCAGCCCTTTTTAACTTCCCACAGCTGGGCACTGACTTCCCTTTAATGGGAGAGTTTTGGCCACATTTGGTTAACGCGGTGGACTATGGCCTGATCTTCCTCACGTTGAGGAGAGGCGTATACTCAGCTCTGGGACATTAAAATTATAGTTCAAATCTGTTCAGCGGTTTATGCATGAAAAGTAACAGATAAGAGTTACTTCTTCGTCCTTTGCCTCCTGCCCTTTTCCCAACTTTGGGATCAAGCCTTCTGCGTCTAGACTAAGATGATGATTCTGTCCTGGATTGTTGACAACGGATATATTTTGTTCTCTCAGGTCTTTCTGATAGTGGATAGCCACGAGACTGTTGGTCTGCCTCTATCTTTTTTCCTACTATCACATTTAAATTATTAACATTTTTATGGAGAAAGCTGTTGATGTTGATAAATATTAAGCGCATCAACTTAATCTTAAAAATTAGTATAGTCGAAGTACGAAGAATATTTTAACGTTATTTGCTTACGCAATTGAGACCGCAGGAAAAAGTAAAGAAATGTATGTAAATAGTAATATTTTTCACCATCAAAATATATAGCGAAATATTTGAAATTTTATATGAAAAGAACAAATTTAAACTTACTGTGGCCGCTGCTAATGACAGATATGTATTGATAACTGCCCTTTGATATTCGCTGTTTGTACTTGTCAAGCCGGAGTTGAACGATGGCCAATATATCCACAAGAATATCGAACCTGTCAATAAGATGTTAAAAATCGGAAATTGAAATGTTTATTTTTCCCTTTTTTATAACTTAGATGAAGTGTTGATAATCAGTTTTTGGTAGAAAATATTTTAATTTTATGATAGCGTAGCTTTGACTTTATTGATTTAAATTTTGTTTAAAAGATTCAAATGACACATGAATATATAAAAAAAGCTTCAAAATTGTTATAAAACTAGCAGTACCCGCGGGTTCACCCGCATCCTAACTTCCGATCGCTATCGAACTTCACAGGATCATCCGTTGGGCTAACCTAAAGATTGCCTGAACATTCTATCAAAATAAGTCCTGTCGTTGAGGTGGAGTTAGGTGACAAATACACATACCACCACTGAGGTATAATAACCTTTTCATTAAATCATGAAACTTACTTTGCTTTTTATTGGCGTGCATATTCGACACATACAACAAACATGACAGGTACAGAACTAGGTACATACTTCCCTTGAAGTCGGTATAAAATCCGTACTAATAATATAAACGTGAAAGTTGCTGTCTGTTACCTTTTCACGCTTAAGCCGCTGAGCAGATTTCGATAGCAATGACTTAGATTGTAGCCTGGGATCGGAGTTCTATTACCCTTGAACCCCACTTTGCTTATCGCGCGAGCTAAGCCACTGGCCTGAACTATGTATGTATAAAAATCAATATATTTTACAACATTTAACTACCCTTACCTATCATAGCAGTAACGTCGGATATATAACTGGGACCGTTTAAATCGACCGTGGGAGTTGTAGTCGGGGTATCAGTTTTAGTTTTCCTCGATTTTAGAGCCCAACTTACTCCTAGACCGAAGTACGCTCCAAACGCATGTATAGCCATCGACCCACCCACATCAGCAGCCTGGAATATATTATGTAATAAGTTTAACAATTGTTTCTCGTTAACGATAAAATTTACATATATGTTTAGGGAATGGAAATATGAAAAGATTAGGTAATATGTATAGGTAACGTAATTTTGTTTCGTATTGTACTTATTTGAATGTCTCTTTAGAAGCGACTAACATCCGCCTTGTCTATTTTTTCAGTCACAGCAGACGATCTCAGTGATCCTTTTTTGACTTGGAATTCGAACCCAGGATCTCAGCAACTGTAGCCTTACAAACTAGCCACTAGACTATAAGGGTCAATTAGAAAATAAAACATGTTTGAAAATAATAAAAATAATCACAAATCATCTACCTACATAATATAAATAGGTAAGGAAAAAACAGTTCAGTACCTTTTTTCTTTTGCTCCGTTTGTCAAACGATTTGCTTTTTATTTTGTTAGTAGCTATTGATTGACAAGCTTTAGTACTCGTATTATCATTATTTTTTTCGGAACAGTTACTTATTATATACAAAAGTAAATTCTTTACATATATGTGTTCCTCAAATATTCTATGATTCATGATCGAATTTCGACCACTAAGCGAATACTAATATAAAACATACATATAGTCAAAAACATAATCCTCCTCTGGGCCGTAGTCGGGTAAAAACAGGATTAGAAGATTCAAAATTTTGAAAGATAGCTTCTGACAATAATATATTAATCATAAATTATATATAACTAAAAATCTATAATAACAGGGAAATAGAGAGGTGTTTCGTTTGTGGAATATTGGAAGTACCTTGAATATATCCGCCACCAGCCAAAAGTTAAGGCATGCGACAGCAACTTCGACTATACCAATGAATAGTAACTGTAATCCGCTCGCCAAGCCGAGCACCGCCCCGAAAGTTATAAGTACTGTTGCTGACATTATGTCAGCCTCTGTCAAAATATTCATAATAATTACGTGATACTTTCTTATATCTACGGAAATTGGATATTTTAAATTAATTAACTTTTGTTTTGGTTTCCGATATTTTAAATGAACCATGGTATTTCTCGTGTAATCAATTTTTACGTACATAATATTGTGAAAGTTGTTAATATTGTGAAAGCAAAATATGTTTATTTTGATAGTTTTTTTATATTGCTAAGTTAAAGTTTTAAATAAATGATTAAATTTTATTTTAATCAATGAAGCTAATGAAGTGTTTTATCACTTTGTTCCTGTAAAAGTTTAGGATTTAAATGAAATTGGGAACGTACAATGTAAATATTTGTATTTGTTTTTAATTATTATTTTTGCATGATCCATGTAGACTAATGCAGTTTGTATAGAAAAACTAAATAAGTATATAAAGTATTAAAGCTATAATAATAATAATAATAATAATAATAATAAAGTACCAGTAATTTACACAATGCTATCGTTAATATAGACGTAAACCTCACACCACTAAACCTTGTAGAAAAGCCACATATAACCGATAATATAATTGACCAGCACACAAACACAGAATACTTGAAATCAGAACAATGGAAAAAGAAAGTTTTGCATGGCAGACATCCTTATGACCTGGATCAAGCACATGTAGATTCGGAAGCATCGAATAAGTGGCTTGCATGTGGTTACTTATTCCCTGAAACCGAAGGCTTCATGATAGCAATACAGGATCAAGTCATCAATACAAAAAATTATCGAAAATATATAATTAAAGACCCTACAATAGCAGATGATAAATGTCGAAAGTGTCACAAACAGCCCGAGACCATTCAGCATATTACAGGAGCATGCCCAACACTCACGCAGACAGATTACACACACAGACATAACCAAATAGTAAATATAATACACCAAAAATTAGCAATCAAACAGAAACTCATCCCAGACACACATACACCATATTACAAATACACACCAAAATCCGTTCTTGAAAATGCAAATTATAAAATTTACTACGACCGTGCTATTCTGACAGACAAAACCATCCATTACAATAGACCGGATATTACGCTCCAAGATAAAGTAAATAAAATAGTATATATAATAGATATAGCTGTACCTAATACTCACAATTTAATTAAAACAATAACCGAAAAAATAAATAAATACACAGAACTAAAAGAAGAAATAACAAAAATGTGGAAGATGAAAAAAGTTTTTATAATACCCATAGTACTTTCTACGACCGGAGTAATTCCGAAGCACTTACATCATAGCTTGAAAATTCTAGACATATCACCAAACTCATACATTAATATACAAAAAGCAGCAATTTTAAATACATGTCGAATCGTTCGAAAATTCATGCAGGATGACACTAATGTAGCTTATCCCCAATTACAATGACGGTTACTTGGTCTTGACCCGTAATCGCCATTTATTTACCAGCTTTTAGCTGAGAATCTATACACAAAAAAATAATAATAATAAGTGAGCCTTTTTTATTTCCTTAATAAAATTACATTAATAGTATTAATAGTATGTTTATATAGCATGCACTTAATATATAAAAATTTTATAAAAACAAAAAATAAAATCTCTTTAAATAGCTTACACAATAAAAAAAATCTTAACTAAATTCAATTTACTTATATTTTAACAATTATATATTTATTTTTATTTATTAAGGACCTCTCCATAGAGTAAAGGCCTCCATAGATAAAAGCTATATACAGCTTGACAAGCTAAACAATAATTATTGCATATTTTTTTATATTCTCTACATGATTTCAAGTTAAAACAATCTAGTCTGCTATAAAATATTCAATTGAATCAAAGCTTTCACGTTCTTTATCACATCTAAGTTGTTCCGGTACGAAATAAAGAAATTCACTGGACCGACATTTCCTAGGCACTACAGCGTTCTTGAGCACTATCTTAAGCTAGATTACTTTAACTATCCAACAAGAACAAACATTTACTCATTTTAATTTACTAAAAATACAAGGCGGGATTTATAAACATTAAGCTTTTTCCGGGATTTGCTGTTGTTTTCCTTTGTTAGGCTTTTTGTAAACATTTGATACTTCTTAGTTCATTTAATGATGGAAATTTTGTTGATTTTTTTTTAATAAAGTTTGTAAGTTTATGTGTTTGTTTGTACGAAGTAATCTCTGGAACTACTAAACCGATTTAATTGAAATTTGGTATATGGTAAGAAGATAGTTTGAGACTCTAAGAAGGACATAGGATAGTTGTTATCCCGGAAATCATCCCTTAAGGGAGTGAAAATGGGGTTGAAATTTAATATGGGGAATCTACCTAGGAACGAATCCATGTGAAGCGAGGGTGAGTCGCTAGTAATATAGATAAATATGTTTATACTAGTTTATACTAGCATTCATCGTGAGCAAAATTACATCAATATTTACATCAAATCCATGCCTTACTATGGAATGACGGTTTTAATAAAATACAGTATATTTTAGTACCTTTACATATTTTTAGTTACGAATGTAATTAAAATAAGTTACATATTTAGTTATATACATATTATATATAGTGACAATGTTTTCAAAAAATAAAACTCAAGTACAGTTGAGCTGGCAAGTGTGATTACCATTTTTGTTTGTTATTTTTTATAATATAGTTTTATAAGTAGATACAGAAGCTATGTTCACTAAAAAATGGAAAATAATTAAGGCAATTAATCCTTAGTAACTAAATCATTGACTTATTATTTTGATCCATTCCCACGACTACATTATCTTATACTGCGGTTTCGAGTTGAAAAATTGCTACGAAGATTGCTACGAAGATTGCTACGAGCTTTATTATAACACGCTTCCAAAGAAAGAAGAATATTTACTCAAGGGGAGGTTTTATACGTTCTTCATATCGTTTATGGGGATATATTATGATAATGTTCATAACTACCCAGCGTTATTTTACTGTTCCACCCAAAAAGCTTAGATTGTATAATTTCTGGGTTCAATTTTTACTTGAAGACATTATATTGATTATATAAAGATTTTTTTTTTATTAAAAACTTCCTCTTAATTATACCTATTGTCTTTATTTTAATCATCTCCAAAAGAGAGCGCTGGTTTTTCAAGTAAATTAGACATTTATTAATTCTACAATTCATGTTTTAGCGGTTCAATAACATAGTTATATAATATAATAAATCACAAAGTAATCAACAGCCTTACACACTCTTTTATATTTATAACGGAAAAATATTAAAATTACTTACCCAATAAACTTTTCTTGGTGATATAAATGATGTTATCTGTCATATGATAAAAAGATTGACAGAGAAGCGCCCATTGGATAACTAAAGCGGCTAAAAACCAGTTAAAACCCAATGCGCTGTAACTGTATTTCTTCAAAAACGTCATCAAAAATCCAAAACCTATGAAAATCATCACATGGGTACCCTCGAAACCTGAAAATAATGTAAAAATTAATTCAATTCAATTCAATTTTATTGTTAATGGCTTCAAAACATGACAACTGAGCAGTAATCTGTTACTTCGCCAATGTCACGTAGAATGGAAAAGACACGAAGGAGATTGGTCGGTAAGATCGTTCAACTATATTAAGTTACTAGCATTGCCCGCGGCTCCGCCCGCGTTCAGATGACCAAAAACCAAATTCTTAGGTTTTACATATTAGTATACTCTTACATTGCAGTTTTTGTATTTTTTCTCAGAAATTAGACATTTTCCTGTGGTAAAAAGTATCCTATATGTTGACCCTGATAACCAGTTATCACCATACTAAATTTTATCAAAATCCCTCCAGTGGTTTTTCTGTGATGCCGTAACAGACAGACAGAAAGACAGACAAACAAAAATTCTAAAAACTATAGATTCGGCCTCTGTATCGATAATAATGTTTATTTCAATAAGATTTTCCAAAAAATATTTAATGTAGATTCGGCTTCGTTACAATTTTATTATATGTATAGATAACGTTTAAAAATGGTAGTAAACCCTTTACAAATGTAAAAATTAAACGACATTATGGTATTGAAAATTATTATGAATAATAAAGATAACTGCAAAAAGGATACATGGATAAGCCCAGCAATTTCATTTGGAGTTTTTCCAAATTATATGCAAGAGTTGTATATAATCATTACACTACAATATATTACAGTACCTGGACGACCAAGCTTCGTTTAGCGTTTTTCGGGGAATATATAAAAACTGCGTTTTTTTTCAGAAAAATCATCTATGTAGATAAATTCGAAAAGCAAAACTTCATCTAAATACAAAAGTTGATCCAAAGCATTAGACGACTCTAAGATACACGAAGCTCCGAGATACACAAAATTTTATGTATTATATACATCGATGAAAAAAATACATAGACTATACTAGATACACAATCCCTTAAGTTGTCTTCATAAAAAAAATTAAATTAAAAGCGCACTCAAATGTTCAAATGAGCGCTCATTCAGTGAGGACATTTTTGTCGCTGATTCTGTATCTTGTATTTTTTTAATCGCTGATTATATACAAGAATTGCCCATTTCATATTATGAAATAAAAATTTAGGGTTTACCTTAATCCTGTAGAATCTCAACATTATCGTACTAATATATAAATGGATAATTTGTGTTGTTCGTATATTCGTTAATTCTTCACGTTATAATGGTTCAATGAGTTCGAGTTATCCGAAATAGAGATAGCTATTAACACGGATGTTTATATAAACTAATTTTTTTCCTTACTTACTCGTACTAATTAATATATTCGCGACCAACAACTAGTACTAAGGACACGAAAATATCCTTATTTCAGATAATCTTCAGGGTATGTGTATACTAATATAACTTTGCATTAATAATTAAAATGTATAGAGTGATTAAATTGAAATAATACGTTATATAAATTTTAAATATAAATAATAAATAAGTTATTCAAGATAGCTGTTATAAATTTAATAATCCTGTTAATACCTAATTTTACCTCGCCGATAATTTCACTACATTCTAAACGAAACAATCAAATAACTTGTTCAAACCAAAGCCCATTTAAGCTTCGATCTTAATTAATATTTGAAAATCCCACAATTTAAGCCGAAACTCTACATTACAAAACGATAATAATATACCTGACCGAGGAAAAATTTTAAATGAAAAATTGCCTAAAAAATCACACAGTACGCTAACAGGCCTCGAGGGGGTGATGGAACAAAAAATGGTTGTACGTAGAAAATCGTAGCATCGAGGTAGTACCATTTCCTTTATTGCTGTAGCTTTTCATACAATGTTTCGAATTATGATACCAAAGAGCTGTCTAGAAAGCCTTTTGATATTTGTTTAAGTACGTACGAACGATGTAATACGTCTTGTGTAAAGTAAAATGGTTTGAAATAGACTCTGTGATGATAAAAGTATTTTTGTTCCGAGAATATTGTTTAGAGTTATTATTTTTACTTATAGATCTGCTTAAATGTGAAAGTTTTTAATGTTTATTTTAGTCTAATGAATCTAATAGTCATCGACATTTAAAAACATAATAATGTAGCCCAGCCGAGCTTTACTCGGCGTTTTTCTAAAGAAATATATAAAAATTGCGTTTTTTCCGTAAAGACTTCTAGATTCAACCTAAGTACATATAAACATTAATATTACTAACTGACTACCTCGGTGGTGTAGTGGCTATCATGTTCGGCTGCACATCCGGAGGTCCTGGGTTCGATCACCGGGTCGAGACCAGTTTAGTTATTGAGTCTTTCTGTTTAGGAAGCCTCAGTAACAGCCCTGAGTTGGGAAGTTGGCAGTGTTTCACCCCCATACCTCGGAGAGCACGTAAAGCCGTAGGTCCTGTGGTTTAATTCTCATTGGTCGTGTCGAATAGTCATCCCACTGGAGTATGAGAGTGACAGAAATAGAAAGGGACTTGTGTATGCACGCACAATTATGCACTATAATATCTCCTACGCAGATGGCTAGTCTCAATGAGATTGGCCGCCGTGGCCAAAATCGGTGGGGAGAAAATTATTATTATTACTAAAGTTAAAAAAACACCCTTTTGACGTGTTATATTCATATATATACCCTGTATATCTATACTTCTAATTTCAATTTTCGTAGAGAAATGAGTTGGGTGTCTCATCAAAATGGAGCTACTCAGGAGAATTCAGCTTGATAGTAATAATTTTTATAAATTTCTCCAGAATAAAACTTATAAAGTACAGAGAAATGGTTGTATTATGTACATTATACAAAAATATGACATATAGTTTCAGGATATAGAGGGTTTTAAATTAAATTTGATCAATAATTCAAAATTCTAAAATATCCAAAATTATTGGTTGCAAAGCCTATTTGATTGGATTATAGTATGTAAAATATATTGTATAAACAGTAAATCTGGTTTCGATTCAGTCATTTAGGTTTCACCAAATACGTATTAGCATAACGTAATATTATATTATATCTCTACTATTATTATAATATTGATAATAATATGATATTATGAAAATAAAGTGCTTCTATCCAAATGAATATATTTTTTGGTCTTATATGCAATAAAAAAACACAAACAGGTTATTTATTGGTTATGGTTACTTATAATGATAATACACTCGTAGTTTTATGCCAATATTAGACATTTAAAAAAAACTATCTTTTCGGATTTTTCCGCAAAATTATTTAGATTTTTGGTTTCCAACGTTTTGAATGCTTTACAGCAATCATGGCTACAAAAAAGAAAAGGGTTTATGACGTCTTAAAGTTTCAAGTCCCAAATTTATGACCTTTTTTTATTTAAAAACATAGAATAAATATATATGTTGGGACCATAACACACAAAGTAAGCACAGAGCTTGTGTTATGGATACCAGACGGTTGATACACTACATATAGGTATATAACTTTAAATATATACACATTATAAAATATATAAATACCCATGAATGGAGTACAAACATTCGTGCTCATTACACAAATGAATGCCCCCAGCGGGACTCGATCCCGCGACCGCTGGCACAGCAAGTAGAGTCACTACAAACTGAGCCAAAAATGTCGTCAAGTAATAATTGCAAAAACAGACAGTTTTTTTAATTACAGATATTTATAAAAACCATTAAAGAAAACTTAATTATTTCACGTAGGTAAATCGCGATGTCAATTATTTTGTAATAAATTACAAAGTATTTCTGCTTATCAACCTCTCAAAGGTAATCATGATGTTATTAATTAAAGCTATTAATGTATTTATGATTATTTTTGTATGTATTCAGACTTTTTTAACGTCCCACCGCTTGATGTCGGGCATCCATTCAGTCTTCAGAGGGGGATTAAGCCATAGACCACCACGCTGGATAAGAGTGGGTTGGTGGGCTCATTTTTTTCTTTTATTATTTATGACGAGAATTGAATACTTCAAATTAAATAACTCACTTAGGTGAAAACTACTGACTTTATTACGATAAAGTGCCATCACCACAAGAATTATATCCGAGTCTAATACAAAATCTCTTCCGATTAATGCGATTCCACCTGATTGGGGACTATCTACCGCCCGATCATTCATTTCATTCGGGTTAGGTATTCTGACCAGTGTTTGAAAACGTTTCATTAAATGTATTAAAAAAATTTAAAAGTAAATCTTATTATTAAATATATTTAAATTAGTTGGCCTTTATTACTATTGTAAAATTTTGTCACTTTCGAAATTCATAAAATACATAATATCATACACGCATAATATTAAATTCATACACGCATAATATTTAAGTCAATTAGCTTACATGCAAAAAATATCTTTAGGTACGCAGATACACGCAAAACACTTAACAAAAATAATAGCAATATAATATGCTCTAAGCGAGAATCGAACTCCTGAATTTGAATAATGTTGTTACTTAAAATTTTGTTTAAGACTACCCTTAAGGTATAACATGATCATTAAAAGAGAAATCACTTTTTTGTCATCATTTAGCATAAAATAATAAATAAACACAATATAAGAAATATACAAAATGTCCGCCTCTTTTTTTTAAATCATTAATAATATCTGTACTTGTTTCAAACTTGTTTATAGCATGAAATAGCATTTTATAGCATTACATTGATGGAAAACAGGTATAATCTTTAACCTGATGAAATTGCCCCGTACGACAAAGATATAACCAGTAATAAGGGACGATTGTTCTGATTAAGCCCTAAGCCTGTCTTTGAAAGGTATCTGGCAACAATGGGTATTGAAGAGTAATTTGTGTTTCCATTACGCAGTTGGATTGAACCTATATTCGATGTCCATTAGTTTAATCTCATAGATTTTAGAGATGGTGTACGTTATTTAGTATTAGTTATAATTTAACGATTTATTTTGATAAACGATGTTCGAAAATGTATCATGAGTTCAAATGAATTCTTCATATTTTGTTGTTTATAATTTTACTAGTGACTCACTCTCGCTCCGATCG